ACCAGCCACATTTAAAAAGGATTACATGTCACGATCAAATGAAATTTATCCAAAGAATGCACGATTAGTTCAACATAGAAGGATTAATCAGCACAATACAACATATTTATGGAAAATGAAACAAAGACACAATCATATCAATAGACACAGAAAAATATTTGAGAAAATTCAACACTCTTTTGTGATAAAAACATTCAAACTAGCAATAGGAGAGAATTTCCTCAACGTGATAAAGGGCATCTAAGAAAAGCCCACAGCTAACACCATCATGGTTACAGGTGAAGGATGAAAAACTTTCTCATTAACAGATGTCTGCTCTCACCAATTCTATTCAACATTATACTACAGGTTCTAGCAAGGGCAGTTAAGCAAGAAAAACAAATAGAAGGCATACAAATTGGAAAGGAAGAAGTAAAACTCTATTTGCAGATAGTATGATCTTATTCATAGAAAACCCTCAATAAACCACATAAAAACTATTAGAGCTATTATGCAATTTCAGCAAGGTTACAAGGTACAAAATCAACACACAAAAATCAATTCTGTTTCTATACAGCAGCAGCAAACAATCTGAACAAGTTAAGAAAAAATTTCACTTTCATTAGCATCCAAACAAATAAAATATCTACAAATAAATTCAACCAAGTAGGTGAAACAATTTTACATTAGAAACTACAGAATGTAGATGAATGAAATTAAAGAATATTTAAATAAATAAATGGAATAAATAAATTTAAATATCTATTTTATATATATACACACATATATAAATACATATTCTATGTAGTTATAAACCACATGATGATATTTCAGTCAACAATAAACTGCATACATGATGGTGGTACCATAAGTTTATAAAAATATTTCTAGTACCAAGTGACATCATAGCCCAATACATTACTCATGTATTTGTGGTTATGCTGGTATAAAAAACCTACTGTTCTGCTAGGCATATAAAAGAATAGCACATTCAATTATGTATAGTACATAATACTTGATAATGACAAACAACTATGTTACTGGTACATATTTATGTACATACTTATACCCTATACTTTTTTAAAAATTTTCTAGAATGTACTCTTTCTACTTACTAAAATAAAAAGCTAACTGTCACAGTTTTGGGCATGTCCCTCAGGAGTATTCCAGAAAAAGCATTGTTGTTATAAGAGATGACAACTTTAGTGTGTTATTGTCCCTGAAGACCTTCCAGTGGGACAAGATGTAGAGGCAGAAGACAGTGATAGATAATTCTAATCCTGTGTAGGTCTGACTAATGTGTGTATTTATGTCTTAATTTTGAACAAAAAGTTAAAAAAAATAAATACAGATCAAAAAAGCTTATAGAATAAGGACTTGAAAGAAAATATTTTTATGCAGCTGTACAATGTGTTTGTGTTTTTAGCTGAGTTATTACAAGAGTCAAAAAAATAAAAATAATTAAAACATTTATAAAGTAAAAAAGTTACAGAAAGCTAAGGTTAATTTATTATCAAAAAACATCTTTTATAAATTTAGTGTAGCCTAAGTGTACAATATTCATAAAGTCTACAGTAGTGTACAGTTATGTCCCAGGCCTTCACATTCACTCACTACTCACTCACTGACTCACCCAGACCAACTTCCAGTCCTGCAAGCTCTATTCAATCAAAGTAAGTACCCTATACAGATGTACCATTTTTATCTTTCATACCATATTTTTACTATACCTTTACTTTTTATATACACAAATACATTGTTATAATTGCCTACAGTATTCAGTACAGTAACATGTTGTACAGGTTTGTAGCCTAGGAGCAATAGGCTATGCTATATAGCATAGCTTTGTAGTAGGCTATTCCATCTAGGTGTGTACACTCCATGATGTTTGCACAATGACTAAATTGCCCAGTGATGCACTCCCCAAGACCTGTCTCTTTATTAAGTGATGCATGACTGTCTATCTATCTAATGGAAAGATATTCCATGTTCAAAGATTGGAAAACTTAATGTAGTTAAGACGGCAGTACTACTCAAAACAATCAACAGATTCAATGCAATACCTATCAAAATTCCAATGACTATTTTTAATTTTTGCATAAATGGGCCAACTGATCATAACATGTGAAAATGTAGCCAAAACAATCTAGAAAAAGAACAGGACATTTGTACAAAAATAAGAAAGCACTCAGAAATGAGAAAGCTTCCCAATTTCAAAATTTAATCTATATTGTTGCAAATGGCAGTATTTCATTCTTTTTTTATAACAGAGTAGTATTCCATTGTGTAGATATACCACATTTTCCATACCCACTCATCTGATGATGGACATTTGGGCTGCTTCCAACTCTTAGCTATTGTAAAGGGTGCTGTGATGAACATTGGGGAACAGGTATACCTTCGACTTGATGATTTCCATTCCTCCGGGTATATTCCCAGCAGTGAGATAGTTGGGTCATATGGTAGAAAAAATTATATTAAGTGAAACGAGTCAGGCACAGAAAGAGAAATACCACATGTTCTCACTTATTTGTGGGAGCTAAAAATAAATAAATACACAATTAAACTGGAGTGGGGAGAGAAGACACAACAATCACAATTCCTTGAAGTTGATACAACAAGCGAACAGATATGAGGTTGTTGGGAGGGAGGGGGAGAGGGAGAAGGAGGGAGGTTTTGGTAATTCTCCACAATAATCAACCACATTGTATATTGATAAAATAAAATTAAAAAACAAAATAGAGAGAGATTATCCTGGACTATCTGGGTGGGCCCACTGTAATCACCAGGGTTCTTAAATGTGGAGGAAACGGGCAGCTTGAGAAAGACTTGGAAAAAAAAAAAAAAAAACCCTTAAAAAACCCTTAATCTAAAGCTACAGTCACCACAACAGTGGAAAACCTACTTAAGGATGGATACACCGATCAATGGCATAGAACTGAGAGGCCAGAAATAAACCCACATATCTATGGTCAATTGATTCTCAACAAATGGTGCTGGGACAACTGGCTATTTATTCACAAGCAAAAGAATAAATTTGGACATCTGCCTCACACCATACACAGAAAATTATTTGAAACAGACCAAAGACATAAATGTAAAAGTATAAAACTCAAGAAAATGTAGGCCTAAATCTTGCTTACCTTGGATTAGTCAACAGTTTCTTAGCTATGATACCAATTTGTAATCACTATTAAAGGGGATTTACATTGCCCACATCCTTAACACAAGGAGAGTACCAATATTTTAAAGTTCTGCTAACATTTTGATGATAATATTGTTTTAAAAAGTGTTTCCTTGACTGCTGGTAGAGTTAAATATATTTCCATATATTGATTTGTCAATTTCATTCCCTACATTATGATTGTATGCATATATATATATATATACACACACACACTGCACATAAATATATATGTTTGTATATATGTAAATGTGTGTATCTGTCCTATATGGTGTTTATTCTTCTGTACAACAGTCTCAAGAGAAAACACCCTAACAATATAAAACCTTTCATCATTTAATGCATGCAAGCACAATGTGTATATTAGTCCGTTTCTGTTGTTTATAACAAAATACTTGGAACTCGGTAATTTATAAGAAAACAAAATTTATTGCTAACGGTTTTGGAGGCTGGGAAGTCCAAAGTCCAGAGAACACATCTGATGAGGGTCTTATTTGGTGGTGGCTTTACAACAATGCAAGGGGCTCACATGGCAGAAAATGTCAGAGCAGAGAGAGAGATTTCGGGTGTGCTCTCCTTTTAAAGCCCTCAGAGCCATGCCCATGATCAACATTATTAATCTGTTCACTATTGCATGGTCCTACAATTTAATCACTTCTTCAAGGCCCTACCTTTCAATTATTGTAAAAAGATTTCCCACTATGAATAGTTACAGTGGGGATTAAGCTTATAATATACATACTCTTGGTGACACAATTCAATCAATCCACTGCAATGTGTTTCTATAAATGTGTTTTTTGGTAATGACTCAGCAGCAGGGGAACTAAATTTATTTTTCTACCTTTATTTCTATTATCATCATATTCTTAAATGTAATCACTCGTGATTATATAGAACTATTGCTATTTTGAATTAATAAGTCTATTGTAGGTGAGGAAAAAAATTGCTTTATCCTAAGGAAAGTATAAAATAAAATGCAAAAACTTGAAAATATGAATGAACATTTCTTTAACATTTTTATTTTCTTTTAATTTAATGTATTTCTTGTGTACATAAACTTCTGTTGGATTTCTAATAAGACAGGTGAGTGTAGCCATTTTGAGTGCTGATAGTGCAACTTACCTGAGTTACTTTTTTTTTTTTTAAGCAATTGTAAGTTTACTGGCAGGAAAGCTGTATAATGAAAGAAACTAGAGTTTTAAACCAGTAAAGATATAAAATATTCTTTAAAAATAGTGATTTATATTTTATAAGCTTTGATTCTAAGCTCTGCTATGAAAGAGATTAAGTCCTCGCAATGCAAATCAACCCAAAATTAATTTCATACTTTTGTAGCCATACTTGAATGAAGAATTTCTTAGTCACAGTTCCATTGTAATCAGTAGTATGGGTTTTTCATTCATTGCTTAGCATGATAGAAATAAATGATGAAGAAATTAACGTGAGGTTTTTGTAGGATTTTTTAAAAAGTAATGTTAAGAAGAAATGGGTCAATTTAAGAACCTGTTCTTCTCCAATATCACCACTCTTTAACCTCAACTGTATTTTAGAAGAGGAAAAGTGATTCATACAAGCCAAAAAATGAAAACTGATAGTATTTTCAGTGTCTTTTCTTCAAGAAATATAGTAATCATTTAAGACAATTAACCTTGCACTGTTTTCTTCCAGTATTTCTTTTTAATCCTAATTTCTTTCTTTTCTTTTCTTTTTTTTTTTTTTTAAGTACATAGAACTAGAGCTGAAAGTAGCTTTGGAGAAATAAAAGAAAAAAAAAACTGCTTCCAATGTTGTCCTGCCAGTACCTATTATGTTTTTGGTTCCTATCTTTCTTTTGCAGGAGTAACAACTGTTCTGACAATGACAACTCTGAGCATCAGTGCTCGGAATTCTCTCCCCAAAGTGGCTTATGCAACTGCCATGGACTGGTTTATTGCTGTGTGTTATGCATTTGTGTTCTCTGCCCTAATTGAATTTGCAACTGTTAATTACTTCACCAAAAGAGGATGGGCCTGGGACGGGAAGAGTGTAGTAAATGACAAGGTAAGTGAGAACTTCCTTCTCATTGTAATTTAGAAAACCCTCCAACAGATTCAGCTTGTGACAGATATGTTCCTAAAAATTGACATTAAGAACATTTATTCATATCTATGTAACGTATATGTATGTAAATTAGAATCTTATTGAATTCTTTTAAAGTGTGTTCTTGCCTGAAATCCTTTAGGAGTGTTTGTAGTAGTAACACTTGCGTTAAATCACTCCTAAGCATCTGTTGAGGTCTATCTGTCAGGCACTGTGCTAAGTTTTTTACATACATTCTTTCCAGTAATCTTTACAGAATCCTTATAACTAGGGTCTCTTCTTAATTCTCATTTTTTACTGATGAAAAAGCTGAAGCTTAGCAAAATCATTTACTGGCCCAATCTAACACAACTGGTTAGTAAGTGTACTTGAACCTGGATCTGTCTGATCATGAAGTTCATGCTCTTAAACACTACACTGCATTACAATAGAGATTGGGAAAAGAAAGTGGGCATGAATTTTACCTGTTACAGAATTCCAGGCTCTATCAATGGGTTATATACGCCTCACTTATTCCCACTTCTGTTTCTTGGTTGCCAAAGCCCCACTAGCATTTTTATCTCTCCTCTGTTGTATCAAATCAATTTGTAGGTGCTGGAAGTGGGAATTTTAAATTGCTCATATTGTCTAAAAGAAGAAAATTATTTATTTAGTTTTTAAGAAAGTAGGAAAATTTACTCTTATATTAAAACTAATCAAGACACTCTTGTACAACCATTGGGGCAAAGAGAAAATAAGAAAGTAATTTTAAAAATATGAGATAAATAAAAATAAAAATACAAGATATTAAAACCTATAAAATGCAGTGAAAACAGTATTATGGGAGAAATTTATAGTGATAAATATCTACATTATAAAGAAACAAATCTCAAATAAGCAACCTTAGATTAACTTCTTTTGAGATTATTGGTATCCATTTTTACATTTCAAGTACTGAAGCTAGTGGGAGTTTCATGCATTGATGTAACAGCTGTTTCCTTTCTTATTTTGTAGATTATTTATCTGCCTTAAGAGGAGGCTTTGGGTATACCATAATGATATATACAGTATTCTTAATACTAGCAAAAAATTTTAGTTGGAGTATTTCTTTTAACACTACATCTACCTAAATGTGTCTTCCATTAAATTTGGAATAACGTACTTGCTGATTTGATTTTTTCAATTTTTTGAATATAATATATATTTTTATTTCTATGATTATATTGCAGTTTAAGCATACCAACAAAATGGTTTAAAAGTCTTGCTCTTTTTCCTTAATGTTGTAAACTAGAAGTTTTAATGAGTGTCTATATATATATATAGATATATCTTGTTTTGCCTACTAACAGAGCCTATGAATAAATTTTAAAAGGAATCTGATCAGTAGTCTGTGCTTAACTTCTAGGCTATTTCAGCATTTCCATTGTATTTGACTGTTGATTTATGTTTTCATTTCCCATATAGTGTATTGCTTTTTCATTGTATCTATGCAATTACTTCTTTTTAGCTCTATCAGTTATACATACACTTTCATACTAATATTTTTCAAAGATAAAATGTCAGTTACTTCTGTGTAAATATATCACAAAAGATAAATTGTAATGTTTTGTGATATAAATTTCCATATAGAAATTTATTTATGTATTATTTTTAATGCTAGGGGATGCCAATCAAATTGACATTATGATTTGTCATATCAATGATATGCTTTCTCAACTGTCGAACTTGGAAAATAGAAGTACCTATAAATGCAAAAAACAAATTCTTTATAATGCATTCTAAAAGCAGTAACCTACTATAGATGAATACTGGAGCCTACCCACATGTCACATCACAGGTAGCCAAGATAAATCTCTGACAAAACCACTGATGTCCCAACCTAATTTTCAGGAAAACAACAAACATTGTTTATTTCAGTTCTTGTGATTTAGTTAAAGAGAACATGATATCAAGCATGTTGCATGTTCTCATTCACTTTTTTGTAGCTAGAGTTCCTAGTGCAGTACCTGGCACTTAATAGGCACTTCAGAAATATTCATTGAATAAAAGAATAAATGAGTTTCTGATATGGCAATGCAGTACCAATGAGGGGACTTCTTTTCTTTCATGGAAATGTTTTTAAAACTTTGCAGTGGTGAATTTATCAATGGGTACTCCATCCAATTTCATGATTCCAGTGAATTTTGGGAGGTGAAATAATCAGGTCCTTAAAGTTAAAAGGAAATTAGATAGAATGCTCAAAAGTAGCCTACCTGCCTGAAAGATATTTCAATACAGTTTACCTCTGCTCTAGTTTTCCTTAAATTTAATTTTTAATGGGAAAATAATGATTTGCTTGGAATGCAGAATTTTTGTCCATGGCCATTTTTGTGTCCTTTCAGATTAACCAGGCTGACAGAAGTCCTTTACTTTTGATGTTAGTAAACATGAGTAGATGCAGTTAAATTAAGTCAATCCAAAGAGCATATGAAAAGTTCTTAAAAATTTGTAGTACAGCAAGTGTTGTCTCATAAGACTATTACTCAGAAATACATATCGATATAGTATATTTGAGAAAAGATATGTATTTATCATATTTATACATGAATAGCACAAATCTGCAGTTTGCATGTAGATTGTGCTCTGATGATATTTGATGTTACTTTTTGCAAATAAATAAATAAATAAATAAGTCCACTTATTTATATTCAAGCTACTTTTGAGCCCTATGTTAAAAGACAAAGCTTATCTTGCTCTGTGATCTTGGACAGGACTTGAAACTACTTTTAGTGTCAGTCGTGAAATTAGGCAATACAACCTTATCATTCTAAAAATGTAGTGCTCTATCAAATGATACAACTCTAAATTTTATGCCCTTCCATATAAACAGTATTTATTTATGCAACCCTCAAGGTCTTCTGGAACCTTCCTTCATGCCCAATGTTTTCCCTCTTGCCCATGACTAATTCTTTCACTCCAGCTCTTGATCTCTTTTCTTCTTGTCGCTTTCTCAAACTTGTTATGTCAGTTATAATTTTCTTCTCTTATTTTTTT